CGGCCTGGATACGTCACGGGTGTTCCGCCTCAGTTAAAACCATGTCATTTCTTCTTTCTTTTCTGCTTCATTCAACGACCATCGGCCCTGGCCATGGCCTGTATAAGCAGACGACTCACCACCTCTTCTCCCCGTCTTCTCACGCCACACGGTCCAGTTGCCCTTATCGAGGACCAGATTGTAGTTAGTCACCCCCAGTTCATCCCAGGTGGCGATACAGGCACGGTGGTCGCCACGCTTGGGCCGGTCGGTGGCGATGGTGGCGGTGCAGGCCACGCCCACAACCGGAGACTCGTCCTCTCGCAAGGCCAAACCCCGGCGGTAGGCAGCCAGGGCCATATCATTGGCATTCTGAGGTGACACGTACTGGGCTGGTTCCTGACCCACCAGGTCGATCATGGAGAATCGCCCGTAGGGAACCAGGGTTTCCAGGATAGTTCGCGAGGCCCCCGACACTCCCAGCAGCCAAGACATGGCGCTGCTTCCGGCACCAGCAACGGCCAGCACGGACTTGTGGGGAGTCCCGTGCAGTTGGGTTATTACTTCTTCAATTCTTGGATCCATGTAACACACTCAATGAATTTCATTCAGTTGGTTGACCCTCCCAAGCCGAATAGTCTATCGAGCCCATCCGTTGCCGGGAAATCTCTATCTCGGCTCCGATCTTCTTCTCCCAAGCCTGGTTCCAGTCTGGTGGAATCAGTCGGCGTGCGTCTCTCCACGTAACAGGAGTCTGGTCACCGGAAGTGCCGCCATCCACCACGTCCGCGAGGAAGCAGGTCATATCTCCGCCATCCATAGCGTTGATAACCCGGCATTCCAGAAATCCGGCGCTTTCCCTTAGTACCGGACAACCCGTAACACCTGCCGCGTAATCCACTGTTGACAGCTTGTCCCGGTCAAACCCGGAAACGAGGCCAAAGTCATGAATTAGCTGGAGTTGGCCTTCGCTAAGAAAGTTGAGGGCAAGGACGCTGCTTTTGAGGATAAGCCCATGGCTGTAGTTTCCTTTGTAAATCTGGACCAGGACTCTGGGCCGGTTGGGCACGATAGAAGCGGCAACAATAGCGACGGCTATTTGGGCATTAACTTTGCCCTGCCACTGGCTGGTAACCGCGGCCAGTGGTGACCATAACCGTCCCATGATCGGCGCAATGTCCCCATGCTTCATGCTGTCGCCTGTCTACAACCAAATTATCCAAATGGTAGTGGGTCTCCCCAAAGTGACGTCAGCAGAAGTTTAGCATCGGCACCATTTCTTGTCGAAGCGGGCAAAAGAAGGGCAGAAATGACAGCAGCCCTTTGTTCGTTTACCAGTCGGGGCTTATGTCATCGCCTCCATTCTTGGTAAGCCGGCGTTGGTTGCTGCCGTCGGCATCCATAACCAGAATGTCGGCGGAACCATAAAGGTCGGTAACTATAGCCATCTGCTTGCCGCTGGCAGAATATACTGGTGTGAGATCGGCGGCATTGTTAGTCGTAAGCCGGCGCTGATTGGCTCCGTCGGCTTGCATCGTGTAGATTTCAGGGTTTCCGTCCCGTGTCGAAACGAAGGCAATGGTCTTGCTATTCGGATGCCAAGCCGGAGAATAGTCGTCGAATCCTCCGTGGGTGAGCCTTGTTTCATCCACGCCGTCTTCCCAAGAGCCGTCCTTAGACCTTCTGGCAAGGAAAATCGCCTTGGCATCCTCCTGTTGGCGCACAAAAGCAATGTACTTACCGTCAGGCGACCAGCACGGTTGGGTATCTTCGCCCTCCGTTAGACGCAGCAGGTTCACTCCTTCGGGATTCCTCAACCACAATCCACGATCGGCTACCGGTTCCTGGTTATAGAAGACAATCCATTCGCCATCAGGAGACCAGTCTCCCAACTCCTCGGCCGCACCTTCGAAGGTTACCTGGCTTATTTCCCGGTCTTCCACGGCAATGGAGTAGATTTCAGTGAAGTCCTTGCCTTCTTCCTGTATCTCCGAAACGTAGGCCAATTTTTTTTCTGCCGGAGACCAGCGAGGCGAAGCGTCCAGACCAGGATTGTTGGTAAGACGGCTAAGCTGATTTCCATCTTTATCTATTACATTTATTTCCTTGTCACCGGTTTCCCGGGACACGTAGGCAATTTGTTGTCCGTCGTGGGACCAGCGAGGCTCTTCATCCGCAGTACTATTGTTGGTCAACCTGGAAGACTTTCCGCTTTCGGGATCCAACAGGTAGATTTCCTGGTCCCCATCAGTATCGGACATGTAAACTATCTGGTTGTCACCCACAGGCAGAACAGAGCACCCTGTTGCCAAAGCCAACACCAGGGCAGCTAACAGGATTCGGACGAAAGCGAGATCGGGAAAAGACCTGACTAGTCGGTTAAGCATTAGTCCTCACCTCCGCAGCACCTTGTCAATTAATCGGAAACGTTCATCGCAGTGACTCCTAAAGAGGTTATGTCACTCCAAGGCTTCAAAGCACCTTTACTCTTGTGCAGATTGCGGGCAAATTAACAACTAGGGCTGAACTGCACGACCAATCGCATCGGATGGACTTTTCCATGCGTCAGTGTCATTTTCAAGCACAAACACAGACCCGCCTTGACAAGGGGAAGACCCTTCTTTAGCCTTACAGCAACCTGGCAAAGCTGACGAAACCCTGAATTGGCTTGTATTGGTTGCCCTCGAAGACGAGGACAAACTGGCACCTTGGCGGTGGGACTGCCAAATGTCAACTGCCGCTGAAGGAGGAAAAGGTTATGAAAGCCCTGGTGGGAGCAAAACTTATTGATGGCACCGGCGGACCGGTACTGAACGATGCCACGGTCTTGATAGATGGTGAGCGCATCGTGGAAGTTGGACCCCGCTTGGCAGTTAGCCTGCCTCCACGTACAGAGGAAGTGGATGTTTCCGGCATGACCCTGATGCCAGGGATGATCGACTGCCACGACCACCTGGCCTCCAAGGATTATGGCCTTGCCAGCCGAATGGGCTACGATTCTCCTCTGTCTCTTCAGCATTTGCGCACGGCCAAAGTACTTGAACAAACATTGGAAGCCGGTTACACCTGCGTTCGGGACGGTGGCGGACTGGACGCAGGATTCAAACAGGCAGTGGAGTCGGGACTGTACCCCGGCCCCAGGCTGGTTATTTCCGTAGCAATCATTTCTCCTACCGGTGGACTGGCGGACAAGGTTACCGCTTCCGGCCATTGCTACCCTCACGGCGACCCAATGATTCCCTCGGGCGTTGCAGATGGAGATGATCCGGTACGAGCCAAAGTAAGGGAAATGTGCCGTGTTGGGGCAGACGTTGTTAAATTCGCCACTACTGGCGGCGCCAGTTCACGCCCCGGCCACGGGCCCTTGGATATAGCCTTCGGCCCAAAGGAAGTTAAGGCGTTGATCGACGAGTCAAGGGCCCTGGGCCGCCGCACCATGTGCCATGCAGTGGGGGGGCCAGGACTTCGCATGTGCATCGAGGCCGGCGCCAATTCGGTGGAACACGGTAGCTACCTGGCCGAAGACCCCGACTTGTCAAAGATGATGGCCGGCGAGGGTATCTTCCTGGTGCCAACCTTTGAGATTTACGAATATCACGCTACGCTCAGCGCGCCCCACATGCAGGCACGTTCCAGAGCGCTAATGGACATACACAAGGAAAGCCTGCACCAGGCCCTGGCGGCCGGCGTCAAAGTGGTTGCCGGCACCGACGCCGGCGGCTACGTACACGGTGACAATGCCCGTGAAGTCCAGATCCTTGTAGAAAAGGGTATGTCCACCATGCAGGCAATCCAGTCTTGCACCGGTTGGGCCGCCGAATGCGTGGGACTGGAAAAGGACATTGGCACCATAAGTAAGGGCAAGTACGCTGACCTCTTGGTAATTGACGGAGATCCTCTCAAGGATATTGAAGCGCTTCGCCGCCCCGATAGCATAAAATTGGTAATGAAGGGAGGCGTAACGGCCGTGGATAAGCTTCCCGTAAAGGAAGCCGAGCCGGTTGCCTGATTTAATCTGCCAGTTCTTGCTGCCGGGGCGACTTTTCATTCTGGTCGTCCCGGTTTGTTTTTGATTCTATGCGCTTTCATGTGTTGACACTCTTTCCAGAGGCCTTCGAGGGCCCCGTCCGGCATAGTATGCTGGGCCGTGCCATCCAAAGAGGCCTGCTCTCTGTCCAGATAATCGACATCCGCTCCTACACTCATGACATCCACGGTACCGCCGACGATTACCAGTTTGGCGGAGGGCATGGGATGGTGCTCAAACCCGAACCCATTTTCGACGCCGTTAGCGACACGCTCTCGCCCTATCCGACCCGTGATCGTCATGCGTTTCCTGTAGTACTGTTGTCACCCCAAGGTCGAAAGTTGGACCAGCAACTGGTGTTGGAATTGGCTACGGCCCCGGGGCTGGTCTTGATCTGCGGACATTATGCGGGGGTGGACGAAAGGGTGAGAACTCACCTGGCGACCCACGACATCAGCATCGGCGACTACGTGCTGACCGGCGGAGAACTGGCGGCAATGGTAATAATTGATGCAGTATCCCGGTTTACGCCCGGAGTGGTAGGTGCGGCAGACAACGTGCAGGAAGACTCTATTACCTCTGGGCTGCTCCAGCATCCACTCTATACCAGGCCATCGGATTTTCACGGGATGACCGTGCCAGACGTTCTACTCTCAGGCCACCACGCACAAATTGACCGTTGGAGACGCGAGGAATCGCTCCGGCGCACCCTGGAAAACCGTCCCGACCTGCTGGACTCCGCTGACCTTTCGCTTACGGACCGGGCATTTCTCGCAGGTTTGGGTTATGTCGGCATTTCTTCGTTGCTGGATGATGGGTTCGAGTCCCAAGAATAGCTTTATTTCCTTAAGGCACCTACATGCCCAAGTCCGATTTCAAGTTTTCGACACAAGTACGGGTACGGTGGATGGAGTGTGATGCCCAGGGCATTGTCTTCAACGGCGCCTATCTCGGCTACTTGGAAATTGCCCAGGCCGAGTATTTTCGCAATCTGGGCTTTCCCATTTACCGAATTGCCCAAACCGGCTACTTTGACAGTGCAGTGGTCAAGGCGGGCCTGGAATTCAAGGCTCCGGCCCGGGTGGACGAGGTGCTGGAGTTGCACGCTCGTGTAGTGCGAATTGGGAACACGAGCTTGACGCTCTCAGTGGAGATATACCCCGTGAGCTCGGAACGCCTTTTGACGTTGATTGAAGCGGTGTACGTGGGATTTTACGCCGACGCTGGTACTACGAGGCCTGTGCCCGACGAAATTCGCTCACTGGTAGACCACTTTGAGGCAACAGGAGCAGTGCTGGACCTGGGGGAGTTTCCGGAACTGGCGGCCGCAGCGGGCTAGAGAGAAAAGACTTAAAAAGCCCGGCATCAGACCATGAAGACAGGGGCTTCGTCCAAGTTTATCCGGGTCTCTTCGGCTATACCTTTGCGAAGAAACTTGGGAAGATTGAACATACTCAGGTGGGATTCTCCGTCGTAGAATGCCAATTCCTGACCCAACCGTTCCAGTAGAAGTCTGTCTACTTCGGCGGCTGCCAGATCAGGTATGGGCGAATCTGAGGCAATGTTGAAACCCCACAGTGTCTGGAAGGCAGGTACATGCACCTGGTAGCCGACACAATGAGCGAATGTAGCCAACAACGTCCGATTGATAGTTGTGAAGCACTCCTGGTGGCTTAACAGTCCGGCCGGCCCGGACTGGGTCACCAACAGGCCCCCTTCTCTTAACCTGGCTTTGGCGATCTCGTAATACTGGCGGGTGTAAAGCAGGTATGCGGGCCCGCCTTCCATGGGATCTACCAGGTCCATGACCATTACGTCAAACTGTTCGCCCGCTTCACCCAAATAGGCACGGGCATCCCGGTGCAACAATTCCACCCGGGCATCGTCAAAGCTGCCCTTGTGGTGGTCGGGGAGATACTCGCGGCACAACTCCACAACCTGCTGGTCCAAGTCGATCATGACCGCTCTTTCCACGGTATTGTGGGACAGCGCTTCACGCAAGGTACCGCCCTCGCCGCCTCCGCCAATGAACACGCTCTTGGGATCGGAATGGAACAGCATGGCGGGATGAACCAGACTCTCGTGGTAAATATGCTCGTCCCGTTCAGTGGACTGCGTCTTCCCGTCCAGAACCAGACTCCGACCGTAAAGGTCAGACTCAAGCACTTCTACCTGCTGGTATTCAGTCCTTCCAGAGAAAAGAACCTGCTGCACCCTCAACATAACAGCCAAGTCGGGGTAGACAGTTTCAATGAGCCATTTTCCGGTGATTTCTTCCATTAATGCTGCTGGATTCCCTTAACTTCAGATGACTACCGGGAGGGAAAGTAGTCCCCTGCGGACTTCGGTAATCTCGGGTTGCTTAGATTCGAACAACTCGATCAAAACTTTAGCAGCATCTCTGGGCTGGAAAGAAGAACCGCAAGTAAATATGTCCGCCGCTGCGTAGTTGTACTCTGGCCATGTGTGGATAGAGATATGGGATTCGGCGATAGACAAGACGCCGGTGACCCCTTGTGGACTGAACTGATGGAAGCATTCTCCGACTATGTGCGCCCCCACGCCTTCGGCGGCTCCATACAGAGCACTTCGCACGTGATCAAGGTTATCAAGAAGTTGAGGGTTACACTCCTTGAGTTCCAACAAAAGGTGCAGACCTAGAACATTCAATCACCTGCCCTCCTCTTCATTATCGGGGAGTTACCCCTGAATAACAGCCAAGCGAATATAGATTTTATATCTATTTGTCGTTGCAATCAATACCTCCCAGAGATTTCTCGATGAAATGAGTGAAAATCCTTAACATACAGAAGCACCTATCCGATACTCTGTGGCTCATTAACCACCACTTTCACGCGTACAACGGGGTAAATCCTGAATTCGTACGAAGGCCTTTAACTCTAGTGTTTTACCTCGACGTATCGGAAACGGGGCCCACCCTAGAAGCAAGGCTACCCTTCCATAGTCCCAAACGGCAGCCTTCGCATTTAGACCATTATTCCTCAGATCTGAAATGCTGCCATAGAATTTGCGGGCACCCTTACGCCGCCAATACGGGATCCAATTCTGGCAGGGCTCCTTGAAGAAACAGTTTTCGTAGAAGTTCGGGTTTTCTAACCGCAACTATGATGACTAAGAATCTTGTCCACACTGACAATTGCTCATTGACTACCTCCACTCGCCCCGATACAATCGGGCAATATGGCTCGCATATTTGATCTTCACATTCATACAACCAAGGGCAGCGCCGACAGCAACCTTTCCCCCGAAGACCTTATTCTGGAAGCGGAGCGGCTGGGCCTTCGGGGCCTCTGCATAACCGAGCACAGCGGTCCGTGGGACAGGCACGAGTTTGAGCGCTTCGCAAGCCTCCACAATGTTGTACTGGTACGAGCGATGGAGGCCGATACCGACATGGGTCATATGCTTGCCTTCGGTATGGATAGTTACCAGTCAGGCTTTCACAAAGCCGATATTCTCTGCCGGGCTGCCAGAGCTGATGGCGGGTTTGTCGTCAGCGCTCACCCATTTCGCGGAGTCCTTGGGAAACACATGAGAGAACGGCCATATCTCTACCGTACGATGCCCGATGAGCCATTGCCAGTAATACCCGAAGAAGCGCTGGAACATCCGGTTTTTAAACTTGCCAACGCCATCGAAGTTGTGAACGGAGGGACAGCGGACGAGGAAAACGGCTTTGCGATGGAAGTGGCTAGTCTGCTTAAGATGCCGGTTACCGGAGGCAGCGACGCCCACTCCACACACGGTTTGGGTCGCTACGTAACAGCCTTCCCCGACGAAATACACACGGAAGCAGAGTTCCTTACTGCGCTTCGCGCCGGCAAGTTCTTTCCGGCGGTGGGCTTGAGGACTGGGCAGTTACGGCCCTACACCGGCTAAAGGCTGGCCAGCTTCCGTCATTGTAGCCTGTTATTCACCTCATCCTGCTACCTGCTCTCTTGGGGACGTTGTAATCCCCGACACTCTCGCTATCTTGCTCACGAAAGGTTTGCCTAAATGGCACTGGGACAAAACTCTGCAGCCCTACCCACGCTGGAACGAACTTTTGTGGCCCTCGACCTGGAAACGACTGGGCTGGACGCTGACCGGGAAAACATTATTCAGGTAGGGGCGGTCAAATTTCAGGGTGACCAAGTACTGGACCGGTTCGATACTTTTGTTAATCCCGGCCGGGGCATCCCAGAATTCATTCAGCGACTTACAGGCATCCGACCCGACCAAGTCAGCCGCGCTCCCCATTTTTCATCAGTAAGTCAGGGCTTGGAAGAGTTCATAGAAGACCATCCCGTGGTGGGGCACAACATCGCCTTCGATCTTCGCTTCCTTGAATCACACGGTCTTCCCCTCTACAACGCCCGATATGATACTTGGGATTTGGCCTCGTTTCTCCTTCCCGAAACTGCCGAATATTCGCTCGGCTCCTTGGCCAGGCAGTTTGGCCTGGACCATCGGCGAGCACACCAGGCCATAGACGACGCTGAGGCTACCCAACAGTTATTTGTCACACTCTTGCGCCGAGCCTCGGAATTGCACCCCTCCCTGTTGTCCTACATTCACACCCTGGCCACCCGAGGAAACTGGAATGTAGCCAATTTGCTATTGGGACTGGAGTCCAACAGCATTGGTGGAGTGAATACCAGCAGCAGTCCACAAGTCTTTGGGCTGTCCGGCCTGGACTTAAGCAGCCTTGCCACCAGGCTGGGCAGGCCCGAAAGGCGCCGCTATGACGAGAGCCTGAATCGCCTGAATGTAGATAATATCACCCAGTTGATGAGTCCCACCGGGCCCTTTTCCCAGACCTTTTCCGGTTTCGAGCAGCGGCCGGAACAGATCGAAATGCTGAACTCGGTAACCCAGGCCATATATGAGGGACAGAAACTGGTTGTGGAAGGCGGCACGGGAGTTGGCAAATCAATGGCATACCTTCTGCCTGCGACCCTTTTCGCCGCATCCAGGGGCTTAAGGGTGGTCATTTCTACCAACACCATCAATCTGCAAGAACAGCTAATGCGGAAAGATATCCCGTCACTCATCCAGGTTCTGGAGGGTTCTGGCGCAGTGGAAAAGGGCTTGATAAAGGCAACACAACTGAAGGGACGTAGCAATTACCTCTGTTTGCGCCGATGGAACTACCTTGCTCACAGCGAGAATCCATCTGCAGACGAAGCCCGTTTGCTGAGCAAGACGGCCGTTTGGCTCCAAGATACGGCGGGTGGCGACCGGTCTGAAATCAACCTTTCGGGGAGGGACTCGTTTTCTTGGAGCAAGGTATCGGCAGGCGAAAAAGGCGGATGTCCTGCCTTGCGAAGCGGCAGCGCAGCTTGCTTCCTTCGCAGCGCCCGTGAACGTGCCGACCAGGCTCACATCGTAGTCGTTAACCACGCCTTGCTACTTGCCGACCTCGCCCATGGCGGGGGAATAATTCCCGATTATCAACACTTGATCATTGACGAAGCCCACAACTTGGAGGACGAAGCAACCCGGCAATTCGGTTTCCAGGTATTGCCCGACCAGTTGGGTGATGATACTGACCTTCTTACACGTCTGGTCAGAGAGGTGAGGCTGGCATTAGGTGCAATAGAACTGCCACCTGCGGTTAAGCAAAACGGCGACAGGTTAGCTTTAGAAGTGGAGGAACCCCTGCCACGCCTGCGGCAGAACTGGAGCGACATGTGGGCGGCAGCGCTCCGATTCTTTTCTGCCCAAGGCAAGCCCGATGAGGCCTTTCTGATAACACCAGCTTCCAGAGGTCAGCGAAGCTGGGCCGATCTGACCACAGCCTGGGAGAATGTGGACGTAGGTCTGAGCAACCTCGCGCAAGCCCTGGCAAAGTTACATGCCTTCTTGTACGAAACCGAGTTTCCCGATACGTCCGATGGTTCGACACCAACGCCTGGACTTGTGGATGTGTCTTCGCTGGTATCAGAATCCAGCAGCATCCAGGGGAACATTGAAAACCTCAGGGACCAACTGAGCCGGGTGATAAGCAAACAAGATGATCAACAAATCAACTGGCTGAATTTAGACCAAGGCAAGGGTGAACTGACTTTCAATTCTGCTCCGTTAGAGGTGGGTCCCATCCTACGAAAGGAGTTGTTCGACCAGAAGGAGAGCGTTGTTCTTACCAGCGCCACCCTCAGCGCGCAGGGCACCTTTGATTACGCGCGTCGCAGGCTGAACCTGCCTGAAGACAGCGAAGAGCTTTCGGTAGGGTCTCCTTTTGATTATCGGAAAGCGGCCTTGCTCATGATTCCCGAGGACATGCCCCCACCTCAAACTGAAGGTTACGTGGACGGAATCGCGACTGCATTGATAGACCTGGCAACTAATCTAACCGGGCGCACAATGGCCCTGTTTACCTCCTACTCCGCATTGCGCAACGTGAACAACCGTATCCGCAACCGACTACAGAACCACGGCATTGATGTCCTGGCCCAGGGCGTTGATGGCTCCCCTCCTCAATTAAGCCGCCGGTTTATCGAGAATCCAAAGTCAGTGCTGCTGGGAACAAGCAGCTTCTGGGAAGGGGTCGACTTTCCCAGTGGAGTTCTGCGAGCCCTGGTCATCACCCGGCTTCCTTTCCAGGTTCCCACCGACCCGGTGGTCAAAGCCCGGTCAGACCAGTACGACAACGCCTTCAACGATTATTCCATCCCTCAAGCAGTTTTGAGATTCCGTCAGGGAATGGGCCGACTGATTCGAAACAAGGAAGATAGCGGCGCCATCGTTGTCCTGGACAAGAGGATTACCGGGCGCAATTACGGCCAGGCCTTCCTCCAATCCATACCTCCCTGCACACTGAAACCCAGCAACCTTTCTAATCTGGGCAACCTTGCAGCCCAGTGGATCGAAGAGGCGGATCGTGGAACTGGTCGTTGACCTGCCATTGAACCTTGAAGCCAGCTTGTTGGGCGGGCAGGCTCATCGGTGGAAGAGGGACGGCGGGGAGGAAGAACCCTGGTTCTCCGGCGTTGTGCGGGGAAGCTTCATTAGGCTGCGTCAACTGGATGCCCATCGCGTAGAATTTCATTCCGCGCCCTGGCCGGAGGCTTCCGTTGTTCCCGTGCTGCAGCGCTACTTCAGATTTGACGACGATCTGTTGCAGATCCAGAAAGAAGTCAGCCATGACCGAAGGGTGGCGGAAATGGTTAACCAGTATCCTGGCCTGAGGGTGCTGCGGCAGGAACCATGGGAATGCCTAGTCGCCTACATTTGTTCGGCCAACTCCAATATCCAGAGAATTCACCAGGTCATGGAGAACATCGCCGGGGCTTTCGGTAGCCCAATAGAATTGGACGGGCAGGTACGCTACTCTTTTCCATCCCCAGTCCAGTTAGTGGAGGCTGGGGAAATGGAGCTGCGCAGGTTGGGGCTTGGCTTTAGGGCTCCCTACGTGGACCGGGCCACTCGTGAAGTGGCAGAAGGTTCACTGGACCTGAATGCCCTGGTCAAGACGCCTTATACGCCGGCCAAGGAGCGCTTGATGGAGTGCTATGGTATCGGCAGCAAGATTGCAGATTGCATCGCGGTGTTTTCCCTTGAGAAACTGGAAGCATTCCCCATAGACGTGTGGGTTCGCCGCGCATTGGGAGAATGGTATTTCCCCGGCGAAAAACCGCCTCCGGACCGGGAAATGTTGGCTTGGGCTC